GCATACATGGAACCTAAAACCACAATGACTTCACTACAACATAAACAAAAAGTAAAGCTACACATAACTTACAAATCTCACTGTGTCTGGGAAGAAACATCTCAACATACTTTTATTTTAAAGTGATACCAGGAGATTACAGAACCATGGACAGCGACCGCACAGGACCTGCTGCTCTGTGCTGCTCAGAAATGTCTTCACTTCCAGAGACGCTCCGAACCAGACGGCTCAGATTGTCCTGGAAGACGTTATGTTCACTCAGTCATCCTGGAGAGCCAGGTTTAGCGGCCCTGTGGTTCAGTGATTCAGGGTTGATCAGCTGTCCCTGCGGTGAAAACACTCATCAGCTGTCCTGGAGGTCTGATGGACTTTCACCCACCCAGCACACACTCAGGGAAAAAGGTCACACTATGTGTCCGTTTTCTGAAGGTGTGATGGTATGTCAGCTATCCTCTTTCCAGGATGTGCCATAGTTTGGTAGCCTGAAGGTCCATAAGTTATTCTGGAGGTCCAGCAGTCCATCAGACTGTTGGGGTTTCACTAACTCATCAGCTGTCCTGAAGGTCCAGCAGCCCATATGCTTTCCTGGAGGCCTGTTGGACCATTGGCTATTCTTTTCGTTTATGCATCCTGAAGATTCTTCGGTCCTCAAGACTGAGTCCTATTTGTTTGCTGGTATGTCAGCCATTTCTGGTGCTTAGTAGTCATCAGCCAGTGGCCTCGGCACCACAGTACTGTCACTACAATCTAGCTGCATTCATGGAGCCATTTTGCAGCACACAATGAAACAGTTTTGCTGTACATTGAGAATCAGCCGAATGTGAATGTGAGAAAACATTTCATGCATGGTCAGTGAGGAGTGGGGCTGAGCCACCACGGAGATGAAAGGACTCTGTCTCTGGGCTGACGGACAGGGAAGACTTTCAGTATTCAAACACAGAGATAAATAATGGGACACTCAGCAGACAGGGTAGATGTTAGTGCGCAACATAGATTTAGCAGAGATAATAGCAGTGATGAAATGGTGAAATAAAAGGAGGGTACGCTATTTAGTGTTTGGTTTGTTTCAGTGGACATCAAAAGCAATGCACCAGTGCATCTGAAAGACACATCGAAGACATGAAGCCAGGTCAGCAACAGGTTATCATCATTCAGACATTTCAATGTTTCAGAGAGGCTGTGGCTTATAAAACACATTTATTCTATCAACTTGATACCACTTACTTTGGTAAAGGCCAACAAAGGTCCCACTGGGTTTCTATGTTTTTAACAACATCACTAAATATTAAACAGAAGGTGAAGACCTTTAGTACTGAAAAAGAAATGAAATCAAATAATAACACACAAAAGAAATAAATGTAGACGGTTATAACTGAAAGCCATATGCCTGTAAAGCTTCAAGACTTTCTAGTAAATTAGTAAACATGCATGACGTGAAATAAATATTTAGGTTACTGCTAACAGGAAATAAGCTGCCTCCTGGAGTCTCTTTCTTATCTGATAAACACAGAGAGCATGGCAGCCTAGCTGGTGGTATATGACAGTTCACTAACTTGCTCAGTGTCTCAACTGTAGCCTCAGAACTGTGTAAAGCCTCAGCCAACAATGACAGCCTACTTATCAGGGTGCAAACTCTCTATTTAGTCTTACCATTGTTTTCCATAAGGGCTCGGGACACAGTTTCCCTTCTACCAGTCCTAAGTTAGTCCGTTTTTTTTCATTTGGTTGAATTGGACCTGTGTTTTTTCCTGTTATTGTTCATTTATAGAACTGTCTCCTGTCTCGACACCACGGTCTGTTAACTTGGACGTTTCCTATTTTACATCCTCCCATACATAAATTATGATATTCTGCTACTGATAATGAAAGCCTCGCACAAAGCCTTGTTTCTTTTCTTTTTATAACAATGCCTTTATTCATTTATTTTCTACAAACTCCCGCTTTGCTCTCAGATATGACTTGATCTTAATAAACCCCCAGCTCCGTTTGGTGCGTCTGAATGTGAAAATGCAGTTTATAGGTTTCTTCTAAGTGTGGAGCTGTGATGTAATGTGCTCCAGGTATAAATATAGAGGCATGGCTGCACAGCGTCCGCGTAGATCAATGTCGCTCCGGCGCTGAAGCCACTGCGCCCGGGTAGGAATGAGCGCAACTTCCACACGCTCCTCTCTGTCGCACCGCTGCTTCTTCTTATTCTCACTCCATTGGAAAGAAAAACGTAGTGAGGCTGCTTTCAGAACCAGACCCGGGATGGGCTCTCTGGCGGCCCTGTGGACCGTCCTGGTTCTGGGTCTGGTGACCGGACTAGTGGGATGCGCCCCTGGCCTGAACCGGACAGCGGAACGCTGGGAGGCCCTTTACTCCCGATCCCTGGCGCGGATCCCGGGTGAGAAGCGGGAGGAGATCGGCCGGGACAGTGACTATCTCCTGGGCATTAAAAGGTTGAGGCGCCTGTATTGCAACGTTGGGATCGGCTTTCATCTTGAAGTGTTACCGGATGGTGGAATAACAGGAGTACACAACGAAAATCGTTACAGTAAGTTGTGTTAAACATTTAGGAATTAGATATAAGCAGCTGATTGTTTTTCTGCACTTCTGACACGTTTATTGGCGGTTTAACGCACAGTTTCTCATGGTGGCTTTAAATAACTAATGCAAATTTAGACTGTTGTTAAAGATGAGATTTGTTTCAGTTGGCTTTGAGGAAGTATCCAAATGACTAAAACAATAGTACTGTACTCATGTGTTCAGTCAGCGACCCAACGTGATGCACTTTATAACTGAAATGTTTCACCACTTGCAGCCACCTGATCCAAACCCTACTTTACGCCCATCACACTGCCGGAGGCTGTCAGTCAGGGAACAGCTTACAGATATCGATCCATGCCTGAATGCCAACATCTGGAGTGGTTCTGTAGTGCCGCTGAGCCCATACTGTGCGTGCTGGAGCTCTCCGCCTTGTGTAACCGGAGCCCGCCGTGCCCCAGGCCGGCGGCCAGCCTACGCCTAAAGTTAGGACACGGTGCAGAGACCCATCTGTTAAGACAAATATTAACCCCAGAGCTCCGACCCAGACAAAGCCATACACATTTGCAGACACGAAGAATAACAAACATTTATTTACCCAACGTGTCAGATCTAATCCCTGTCATCCCGTGTTTGTGAAGCTGTGGAATTGTCAGGCTGCCTCGGGAACTTAGTGCTGCCTCTGGACTATTTTGAGACAAGACATAAAATTCAGGGAGATACATTACAGAAAATCTCAGTGAAGAATTCCGCTGTTACTATAAAGCACTTTTAAAGAGAGCAGGAACAAAAGATACAGTCTGCTGTAACCCAGCAGCCTGTCAAGGCCAAATGAGAACCCACATCAGATGGGTCCAATACAACTCCAGAAATCCCTGCATTTAATGCTACTTAGCTCCAGAGTCCTCCAGAAGAGTTCAGCCATGACTGAGCACTGATGAGAGATTATTTTGTCAGTTGTTACATGCTAGCAACCAAACCTCAAATAGCCTGTTGGTCTTATGTGTAGGTTGATTGAATGGTCACATATCTTACAAAAAAGACAGCCCTATTTTACATAGTTACATCTAGTTTGGGAGTTTGGTTAAAATGGCTTAGTTCAGCCAATTTGTAACCAAGATCCCATTTAAATGAATCCAAAACTCTGCCCAGTTGGAGTCCCCACAGGCTACAACTTTTCTTGCATGTATTGGTAAATAGACCTCATCTGTTTAATGTACGAATTTATAGTGACATCAGGCTTTATTAAAACCAATAAGTGTCCAGACACCTGAAAATAGTTTATATTTGTGGAATGGGGCATTAAATCGACACACTTTATGGTTAACTGTTTGAACATGTCACTGATAGCATCATAGCTTTGGGATGAGACACGTAGTGATATCAGTGTTTCTGTGTGCAGCGGCCGGTCTGGCTTTCTCCATCAGACATTTCTGTGTGTGTGTTTTGTTTCCTCTGAAGGTCTCCTCCAAATCTCTCCAGTGGAGAGAGGGGTGGTGACTCTGCTGGGTGTTCACAGCGGACTCTTTGTGGCCATGAACCGGCGAGGAAAGCTGTATGGATCTGTCTTGGACCAACACTGTCACCCACTGCCACCCACTGCCCATCACTCTCTATCCCTCTCTCACACACACACACACACAGGTTTGATGAAGGCAGAGTTTCAGGTTTCACTTATTACTTTACTACATTTTGCTGAACTTTTCCTCTGGTAACAGATGCAGCAGGCAGTGTCTATCAGATTGATCAGGACTGAGGAAGCACTAGGGTTCACCAATTTAAATCAGCCTGGCGGCCCCTCCCGCAGGGTTTTGACCAGACACCAAAAATGTAAAAGTCTCTAAGATGTTGCCTTGATAAATTCTGTTTAACAGCCTGAAATCAATCTTTGCTGAAAAAATACTGAATTCTTTACCAATGTATTTGTTTTCTGGCATAAACACTATCAAATTTAAATATGTTAAGTATAAAAATACAGAAATCAGCATATAAAACAGTCACCATTGTCTCCTCAGGTTGTTATACCTCATATACTCATGGCAGTGGTATCATCTGTGGTAGCTACAGCCCTGGCCGGGAGTGATTTCTATTAATGTCTGTAAAGTCACAGTTTAAGACTTTAATGGAAATTCTATTTTAGGATCTGAAGCAAATGAACAACTGCAACAAGGAGCCTTTAACACTGGACAGAGCTTTATATTGCTGAAACAAAAATACCTAATGTTTACTGCATGGAGGTTGACACGTAACGGGTAATTAAATTACACTTAAATAAGTTGCACCACAGAAACAAGTTCATACAGCACATCGACAGTAGTTATTACTAAATATTTTCTCTCAGTGACTGTCAGAGGCAACTGTTACTTAGCTGTAGCTGAAGACACAACTTCCATCCACTTGGAAATATATGACCTGCATAGACTGAAGAGTGAATGTCTGAGCTGACACTTGATCAAAATTCTGCTTAATAATGATGTATACTGGTAAGATTTTAGATGATACCTTACAACAATAACGTAATATATCTTAAATGATCATTTTGCTAATAACAGTAGACTGATTGAATATCAAAGGTTAGGTTATTATATCCAGACATTTCCCACTAATGTTACCGTTAAACTGCATATATATAGTAACTGAAAACACATATTTCCCATTGTTTTTCCTATTTATTTTTAATTTAATTTGTATTTTCTTCTGTATGAATGTTTACAGGAAAAGCAGTTTATTGTGCAGTTTGTCCCCCGATGCTGCTTTTTTTGAAAGTTATGTTATAGCTTATGTTGCTGTGACGATGCTACAGATGTTTTTGAGCAACTGATTTAGACATTACTGAAGTCTCAGCTGAGACATTTCATCAGTCACTAGTTTGAAACTAGTGAGTTCAGGAATTAGGAACAATTTATTTTACACACACTGATGGATTTCATTATAACTAGGTCTGAGATGCTGAGCTCCAATAGTTGGACATCTGAGGCTGACAAACAGCACATAGTGGTGTTTTAAAAAATACTGCACAAAATTAGTTGTGAGCAACTGTCAAATATAAGTTAATGACTAAGTTCAGGTGGAATGATTCCTTTGAGTCCTAGCTCACAAGCTATTATTCCACTCACGGAGTAAACAGTCCTCACTCACATCATTCATCATTTCACAGTTTTGTTTTTGTGTAAATCTCTGACTGAAACAGCTGCTGTACAATAGCCCCGCAGTCAGAAATAAAGCAGTTGTTTGATAGAAAACACAGTGAACAATACCAGCTTAAAATTCCCCCAAAAACATCCCAGCAACTTTGCTTTGTCTCCGCCTTTAGACAATCAGCGTTTTCCAATACCACCTGCCTCCTTTCTCTTGCAGTTGCATTATAACAACGAGTGCAAGTTCAGAGAGAAGCTCCTCGCCAACAACTACAACGCCTACGAGTCAGTGGCCTACCCGACAATGTTCATCGGCCTGAGTGAAAAAAAAAAAAGAGAAAGCCGAGTGTCCCCCGCCATGACAGTGACACATTTCTTGCCAAGAATCTAGTGGCCTCATAAATAGACTTCACCTTAATATAGAGACGAGGGGGGGAGGGAGTCCAAACCATGATGCACTTTCACTCTAAGCTATATGCAAGTGTATCATATTTGATATTTTGCTATGTATATATTATTTTTTTTATGCTTAATAACAGTTTTTAAAATATTTTTTAGAAGGGTTTTTTAGAAGGGTGTTTTCACTGTGGGTGGGTGAGAGGGGGTCAGAGATGTTACCCAGGTTATTTATGTTGTGTTTTTCTAATTTATCAGTTCTTTGCTGCTACGGAATGAAATCCTGTCTTCAGATGTTGATTCTCTTTGCACTGATAGGAAACCACATAACAGTGCACAGAAGGTGTTTGTGACTTTCTTATGGGTTTATTCACTCTTTTCAATACAGCAGGAACTTTTTGAGTCTTAGCCTAAAAAACAATGAGGAACAAGTGTCTTTGGCATCAGAAGTGGCAGTGATTGTCCAACACTCTGGCTCTTTTGTGTGGCCCCGGAGCCTAATTGAAATATCATCTTACTGCTGAAGAGATAGCGGGAGGGAGAGAGAGAAAGAGGTGGGGAGGGGAGCGGGGAGTCAAAGAGCCCCCACAGCCTCCATTGGTCTGTTTATAGCTCTGCCGAGGAGCTGGGGGGGGGTGAACTATGAACTATGAACTTTTCTGCCGTCAATCTCAGTCAGATCTATAAGACTGCTGATAGAGAGAGGCATCCTCCTTTGACATTATTTAAGTGGGGAATTTGGGCAATTAAAAGCAAGGTCAAAGTGCTGAAATGCATTCTTGATGATGAACCACAGCCTTGACTGTGGACTGTGACTATGATGTCAGGCTGGAAGTCCACCTGGTGGGTCTGAAGCAAGGCCGCAGAGATGGTTTGGCAGCATCACTCAGGACACGCAGATGCTATATTGCTTGTGTTGTGCCAAAATTTGTCTCCTCAAAAAAATGTCATTCAATTAGTTACCTTTGAGTCCTACTCTTATGAATGGAAAGTTCCATATTCATTCAAACAATAAAACACGCCCTTAGATCAAAAAACTTTAACTCTTTCCTACTATAATTTCCTATTGTAGCCACTCCACTCATTTCCAAACAGCACAGTCAGGATACAATAAGCCCACAGATACATTTTGTTGAGGACACAAACTTTGGTGCAGCTCCATTAAGACCACTTTCCAATTCCTTCGTGTGTATCCTCTCTTTTACTAAACCAGTAACGAAGCTTTATTCCAGCTTCCAACAGCATTCGCTGCCCCATGTGCTGGCTCAGTTTACTCTGCATATTTCCCAGACGGCTTCTATCTTGTATTTGTCTCCTCTCTGTCTCTCTGTGAGTCTCCGCTGTGGACTACAGCCCAGCTCTGGTGGCCATGTTGTCCTAGTTATGCCTTGTCACGTTCCAGCTATCTTTACCCTGTGATTTACTTTTAGAAAGGATAATCATGGGAGAAATATTTAAGGACAGCTGTTGGACTGTACTATATGGTAAGGCCAGTAATCCTATATTTTTCTTTATATATTTTGTAAATATAACCCCTAAGTAACCGAAGGTGCTGGTATTCCTTTCAGGGGGAGGACAGTTTTAAACCAACAGAGCTGGGGGGGAGTTTCTGTCTGAAGGTGCGAGGTGCATTTGATTGACTTGCTTTGGTGCAACAATGAACTTATTCCAAAGTCATCAACAACCCAGGTCAAGAAAAGGACTGGTGAGAGATAGGTGGCCACATTAGACCTGTTCTTTGCTTTTCTGTACTATACTGTCCTGTTCTCTTATTCGTTTTTTTTTTATCTTGGATGCTTAAAGTCTCAGTTTCAACATTCCACATACAAATGCATATAATGTAACATGCCCAGCTCCTCTTTGCAGTAATACTGTTTATTCTATTGAGCAAGACTGCCTTCAGTACAAGTGATGATACACTGGGGAAGAGGGCGGCCACACTGAATGCACATGCTAGGTATTAAGTTGCAAATAGCTCAAGCAAATATCATGCAAACTGTCACTGTAGTGGCTTTAGGCTGTGATTCCTGCAGACCAGCTTGGATGTGGAGACTGATCCAAGCTCTGCAGGCTCAGTATTGTGAGATACCTGTCACATTGTCCAACTTAAGTGCTAAGACAACTGTCTGCTAGTCCTAGAACATCTCTTGTTAGAGTGCAGTTTTTTAAATGTCCTCTTGAAAATATCAACTGGTCAGCAGTGATACAGTACAGTACATGCAGTATGCTGGTGTTTCTGGTGCTCACAGCTGGGCTCAGTGCTCTCAGGTGTCACTGCTTTGCATGGTGGGCATCATGTTTACAGCAGAATACCTTTCTGCCCTCTGTCACTGACCCCAGACCAGCCCTCTACTCCAGCTGCTCATTTGGTTAATAAGCTATTATAGTCCAAGCAATAGTCGGCAGTTTGTGATTGGTGTAGCACATTTTCTGTTCACAGGGACCAAATGGTTCACAGCAGGTTGATTGTGACTGCTGGTCATGTGGATAGGCCACTGTACACTGACTACAGCTGATAATACACTCTTTGATTGTGTTATGATGCCCAACAGAACCTTCAATTCCCAGATTTCTTTCTGCCTCGGTGTTTAAAAAAAGCATAGATAGTTTGTTTGTATATGCCCTGGATCAAAGATTTTTTTTAATATGTAAAAACTAAAAAAATATACATGAGTCATGAACTCATAATACATGGACTATTTCTTCCATTGAAATAACTCCTATGAATAATAGTAGCAGGATGTTCTGAGGGTTGTCCAGAGTGAAGGTGTTGCTGTGGAATAATTAAAATGTCATTTTTTTACTTTTGTAATAAGGCAGAGTAATCTCAGAAACAGATCCCCTGTACAAATCTGCCCGTCTTGATCTGTTAGTAAGTAAATGAGAAAATATTTGTTCAAATATGTGTGAACTGAACCTTTAAAGTTAAACCTTCAACAGTGAGCTAAGTGGAAATGTGGGACTTTTGCAGCAGTATTGGGCAGCGGTATTCAAGACAAAATCAAATCAGTCTGTGCTTACAGAAATGACTGACTGAATTTCATTGTTCAAACAGGTCACTGCACATCCATGAACTCATGAACTATAAAGTTTGATGTGTTTCTTTCTGTTTCTTCCACCTGAATGCCTGTGTTCAGGGACTAAATGTTCTATTGCAAAGTAATGATATTATACAGTACTGTGTATGATTCTGAGTCCTGTGGTCTTATGGCAGTTTTGTATCAACCACTTTTATAAGTTGTCCTGTAGTTTTATACAGGACCCAATAAAAGGTCACACTGTATGTGCTGTGCACATGGCAAGTGTAACTTAATGGAAGTTAACAATAAAATCATAATCCTCCTCCATGTATATTTTCTGTACTTCTGTGGTAAACAGTACTTTATAAATTAAAATATGTCCTTGTGACACTGTATTACATGAGTATATTCATATAGTAAAAGTGTTGGATTTTGGGAAAATATAATTAACATTAAGCAACAATAAGTGATGAAGAGACTTTAAGTTTATATACCTGACAGAGAAACAAGGTGCTAGTATTTACTGTGGGATCAGGGTTACACATACTGTATAGTGTGAGTGTACTCAGAGCACACACATGATCTCAATCTCCAACAGCATGTGAGTGAGCTCAGCTCTGTATGACTCTCCTTTCAAGGATGAGACAAACTCAAGGTTCATTGAAATTAAGTGAAAGTCCACACATTTTCTTTAAAGGATAAGGCTTAGCAGTATCTTAAATACTCCATATTAAGGCTGTAAATCATCACTTTCATCAGGAGGACACGATCCTATATCGATTCTCTTTGCCAGTGATCTCATGTTTGCTGACACTTTAAAATATGCCATGATGCGGTTTCGATTTGATTCAGGGGCTTGAGATCGATATCAAGCAATATTATCTGCCTATTTCACACAATCATATTTGTATTAACTAAAATGTAACAGAGGAACAGAGGTATCATCTTAAAAATGTATTGAGCACTTTCAAGTGCTATTTAAATACAAATAAGGGCCAGTGATGTTGTTCCAATTCAGCATAAACGAAGCATTTACATTGTCACACATACAAAAAAGCTGGAAAAACCATATTTTCTACATTGTAGTAGGAATTTTGTTTAGTGGCCAAAACAATTTATAGCACCTTAAGTAAACAAGAGTCAAGGGGCCATGCAGGAGATCTGTGGCTATTTTTTAACAGATATCAGGGTCTGGTGTTTTATAATAAAGAAATATGTCACCCAGTGCAGTGAAGTGTTTCCCATATGTGTTTCTAATACATTTTTGAACAACAAAGGAGGTCTACGGCACAGACGTGAGACACAACAAGTACAGGCAAATCATTGTTTGTTTTAAACTATGTATAGAGGTTGTTGAAAATGCTGGCAAAATAGAAAATGGCAGGCCTTATCCTTTAACTTACTGCTCAATTCAACACCTGCAGATACCAGTTACAGCCCACTCAAGCTGCAACTCAGTGAAAGTGACTTCCAGTGACCAAATGAGACTAAAAAGGTTCATTTAGAATTGTACTGCCCTAAAGTCAAGGGACTTGTGAAAAACAAGTAATGTTTAAAATTGTCAGTGTGACATTTAGTCCCCAGTATGAATCAACGCCCCAGAACCCTGAATCCTACACATGCAGTATGCAGATATGTTTTCTGCCACAGTTCAAACTTGACTGCATTCAGTGAGTAACACAGATTTAATGTTGTAGATCATATGTTACCTTTAAAAATTCAAGCCAAAACTAAATTAAAAAGCTCCATGAGAGTCACAAAAGACATTATGCCTGGCTGTGTAGGACTTCTTCTGATAAGCAAACATACTGTATCTGTGTGGGTGAAATTGGTTGAGTACTCCTTTAAAATATTAATATTTTCATTTTCTCCACAGTGACAAATAGCCACCCTGTGGTGCTCAATAACTTGTGTACAAAAGTGCCCATAGGTTCTTAAACCCACTGATCAGGAATTACACACTCACACCGTGCAT